CTCCCTCAACGATCACAATCATCTTTTATAGATCACTTTTACCTTCAATGCATAGTATGCATTGCATTATCTGAAGTATGGAGAAGTATCTTTCTTAATTGTCTTTCTTAATTAATCTTACATTTCTCCCCCTCGAAATGTGGTATGAACTTTTTTACCACAATTTCGAAACATTCAGAACTCTTGTGAATGAGGAAACTTTGATTACTTACTTCATCCACATGATTACATCATGCAAACAAAATTCGTACGGGAGTACATTTTTCTCATTACACTTCAAAACTCAACATAGTTTATTATTATCAATACTTCTGCAAGTCATGCTTGCATATCATTCTTATCTTTTGGTTCACACTCACCTTTCTTTTGTTCTTAAACTCATTGAGTACTTAACGACCATGACACAAACAGAGTATACGGTCAATTCTATGATAGCATAAGAGCTACACCAAAATTCTCTCTATGTGCGGAATACACTTAGAGCACATGAGTCATCATATCCTTCTCCCGCCATGCGGGATAAGTACTATGCCAAACTCTCCCGCCATGCAGGATTGGTTAACATATGTACTATGCCAACTTTACCCTGCCATGCGGGTATTTTCTCAATCTTTTCCCGCCATGCGGGTACTATCACAAACTTTTCCAGCCATGCGAGATAATTTCCTTGAACCGACATAAATGCCAGGATTGACTCGTGTTCAATCATCAAATTAAGAAATAAATCCGAATATTCTTTTAACACACATGTTTAATCCAATGTTAGTCAAATTAAATATGTATATGACTTTTACAACTCTCATAAGTGAAACTGAAAATAAATTCTTGTTCACAGATAGTACATAAAAGACATTTCTCAATGAAGATTCTCATTAATCTATCTCTTTTCTTGGATTAATATCCTAGAATTCTTTTCTTTTGAAGTCATTCTTTAAAGAAAACATAGTCCCTTAAGCAATGGCATTCTTTCACATATAACTTGCCCTTAGGCATTCCATCATCTGAGTCACAAGTACCCAGCTCATTTCTCTTACTGTCTTCAATAATGAAAGCAAGGAAGTCTTTTGTTTGAATAAATATTCAACAATAATGCTCATTAAACTTTGAAATCTTTATGTTCTATTCTATATCACCGTTGGACAGAAATAGAATAAAACATTATTTTCCTACATTAATTCCACATCACCGTTGGACAGAAATGGAATTAACATATAGAAATTCAATAATCTTGAAAACATAGAACTGCTCCTCAAAATTAAATTCTCCCGTTGGTTCAAATTTAATTAGAAGGCAATCAACTTCATTGCAGCGGAAACATGAAAATACATTTCTCTAGTTTAAGAGCATTCCTTGATCTTTATCTATTCTCTGAAAATTGGTCACTTTGATGCAAAATTTATCAGAGATTTAAACTTTAATCATAAAACTCATAAAATTATAATATTGTTATCATCAACGTTGGTCAGAAAATAACAATACCATAATTTAACTTTAAACTTAAACTCATAAATAAACTTATAATATTGTTATCATCAACGTTGGTCAGAAAAGAACAATATTATAATTTATCTTAACTATCAACCGACTATTCCTCCAATTAAAAAAATTTCTAGTTGGTTCCAATTTTAACTAGAGGATAAACTTTTCATCATTTACTGAATAACTATAACTGCTCTTCAAAATTAAATTCTTCCGTTGGTTCGAATTTAATAAGAAGACAACATCTTTAACTTTGCAGCGGAAACTTGACAAAATTTCTTTATATACTTTTCAGAAGCATTTTACTGTACTTTTCTACTCTCTGGAAAATCTAACACGTTGGTGCAATTTTACCAGAAATTTACATCTTCAAATTGATCAAAATTCATTCAAATATGCTTTTGAAAATAAATACACTTCAAAACATCATTTGCTATTCATTACGGCCCGACTGCGGCAGTAGATAATCCGCCCGCTGAAGCTGGCTTCTTTCGGGAAGGTCACTGCTCGCAGCGTGGCGGACCCAATGAAGAAGAAGAAATGACGGTGGCGTGGCGCCACGGCGCTTTCTCCCGCGCCCGAAGCCGCAGCGTGGGCTGGGCCGAATTCGCCACGCGCCCTCGCCCACCTGGGCCACGACGCTCGCCCAATCAACTAGCGTCGTTGGATCCAATCGAACGGTCACATGGCGCTCTTGGCGAATGAAAAAACGTCGACGCCGGCTTCCATCCAAAAACCCTAAGTCATTTTCTCTTTCTCTCTCTCTCTTCACGGCTGCGCTGCGCTCTCTTCTTCTTTCTCGGTGTCGCCGCAGCGATCACGAAAGCGAGTGAGTGGGCGAAACAATGGAGAGCAATGAGTTCAAGCGCTGTTGTTGGCCCTTCGCCGGCGCTTGCGCGTTCCCAATGGTGGAGCTGCGCCATTGAAGGGCCTAGCTGCTGGCGCCCCCTGTGGCTGAGATCTGGCGAGCGGTGCCCCGGCCCGCCCTTTCTTTCCCCTGACGCTGCCGGGCAGCCAAGGCACGACGCAGCGAGGTAAGCCATCCCTTTCCCTTTCTGCGTTTCTGCTTGTTTGGATTTGGGGATGGGGATTGGATCTAGGGTTAGGGTTTCGGGTTAGGGATTCACTTTGTTCTTCTTCCCCATGAGTTTTCACGGATTTAGGGTTCGGTTTTGCTTCTCTTCTAGGCTGAAACCCTCTTCTTCTTCTTTCCTCAACCCAGTTAAGGTTAGAGTTCAGAAAACCTTCTTTCTTTGTCTAGATCCGAACGGATCTAAACCGTTCTTATCTTTTTTCGTTTTTTTTTTATTCTCTTCCCAAGACGCCGTCAAGCCAAGGCGTGCGGTGCTCCATCCCGCGTGGTGGCGGTAGTGACGGGCGGGAAGCCTACAGTAAGACTTCCCCCGGACCGTCCAATTTCTTTAGGGTAATCCGAATCGAATTCGAATCCCTTTCTTTTTCTTTCTATCACCCGATTAGGGTTTAGGGTTCGATGAACCCTCTGTATTTCCCTCTTTTTTTTCGATCCGAACCGGATCTAACTCATCTTCTTTTACACTGCTACCCCTAACACAATCCACACACTAGATCGACTGGCTCTGATACCATTGTTAACTCTTTTGGATCGACTAGGAGTAGATCAGTGGGTATTTTGACTTCCATTCGAACACATAGATCCAGAGTTTGCTTCGGGAGTAGGAGACTGAGAGAGAGAGGGAGATGTAGGAGCATCTCGACCGTCGGAGGAGCTCCCCGCCTTTCTTTGGTTCGGGTGGTGATGATCTGCGCTAGGGCAGCGACGTTTGGTGTAGCTATGGAGACCGGCGGTGGTGGAGGCAGTGGCGCTTCCCGCCGCTGGCAGTGCCAGCCTCTGGATCGGATTAAGGTTAGGACAGTGGGCTGTGGTGGCGGCGAATCTCGTACCGTGTGCCGTTTGCCCCACCTACTCTTTATAGGCACTGTGCAACGGGGGCCCACTAGCCACGAGATGGCTGGACGTCCCCGATCAGAACGCGGTCAAAGGGTCCGTCTCGACCGTTGGGTCAAGACGGATGAGATCAATTCTATTGGCCGGTTCACGTCAAAGCTGCCACTGCTTGGGATCTTGCTCGCCGTCCTGCTGCTCCTGCCGTGCACCGCCGTGGCCGCCGTAGCCAAGGCCATCGACGCATCGAATAGCCAGCGCCTGGACCTGCCCGACGCGCTGGTTGGCCCCGAGAGCGTCGCGTTCGACGGCCACGGCGCCGGACCTTACCTCAGCATCTCCGACGGCCGCATCCTCAAGTACGGTGGCGAAGGAGCTGGCTGGAGCACGTTCACGTACAGCCCGAGCTACATCAAGAACAACTGCGACGCGCCGTCTGAGCTCCCGCCGGTCGCCATGGAGAGCTCCTGCGGCCGGCCGCTGGGCCTTCGTTTCCACCGCAACTCCGGCAACCTATACATCGCGGATGCATACATGGGGCTCATGCGGGTGGGACCGGACGGTGGGGAGGCGACCGTGCTAGCCACGGAGGCCGGCGGCGAGCCGTTCCGCTTCACCAATGGGGTGGACATCGACCAGGTCACCGGAGATGTCTACTTCACCGACAGCAGCAAGACCTACCAGCGGTCACAGCACCAGATGGTGACCGCGTCCGGCGACTCCACGGGGCGCATCATGAAGTACAGTCCACGGACCAACCAGGTCACCGTGCTCCAGTCCGGCGTGACCTACCCTAACGGCATCGCCATCAGCGAGGACAGGACCCACCTCATTGTCGCACTCACCGGACCTTGCAAGCTGCTTAGGTATTGGATCCGTGGGCCCAACGCAAACACATCCGAGATATTCACTGACCTGCCAGGATACCCAGATAACGTGAGGCCCGACGGGAACGGAGGCTATTGGGTTGCGCTGCATCGGGAGAAAAATGAGCTCCCGTATCCGCTTGGCGTGAACAAGCACTTAGTCGCCATCAGAATTGGTGCTCAAGGTGAAAAGCTCCAAGAAATGACGGGCCCTAAGAACGTTAGGCCAACCGAGGCGGTGGAAAGACAAGATGGCAAAAATATATCTTGGATCCGTAGAGTTGTCTTATGTTAGCATTGTTAGCGCTTAAGATTAAAGCTAAGGATTAAGATTTAAGGATTTGATATGCTTTATTTCGAGTACTACATTATGGACCTTGTCTTGCTGTTTGTTTGTCATTATTAATAAATAAAAGTTTGCAGTTACAGTATGTTAAGTTGTCAATTGTGATACGTTGAATACATACTTTCAGTGGTCCGGCCTTGCACACCTTGTTCTTGTTTTATCACGAGTTTACGCATGGATCATGCACGCACGCGTAAGATGGATGACAAGCAATATAGTGTGTATCAAGTCTACAAATTTTACCAAATAATGAAAACATTAGCAATAGGATCAGCTTCTCTATGAATATGGAAAAGCATGCCACATTAGACCCACAATTGCAAAGACCAGATCATCAGCTTCTATATGAATCGCGCGTTTGAGAAAGAAAACTTCTCTATATGAATCATCGAACTAGCACGTATTCAAATTTCAGAATTTTAGCAGCATACTTCCAACCTAATACTTTTATAAGCACAATAGCAAACCAACATCCAGTATTCCAGTGGCACTGCATGGCAGCAATAACTTAAATTGCACCACTTTACAAATACAAACTTGTGCATTTTGGTTTCCAACTTAGATTAACACCCATCAGCTACTTCTGCGTGAAGCCTGGAAAGGAAAACACCACAAGTGCAACATAATTGCCGTACCGAATATCATTATACCATATATAAGTAAAAGCATTGTATTCGCACTTAGCACTGGTGCAGGTGTCTAATATTAAAATAAGTATATAACGGAGAAAAAAGCTGATTCAAGTCGACACACGAAAATATTCATGTGGATAGAACTTCTTCACATATTATAGTCATCTTTCTGGGCTTACCTTAGGTCCATCCTTTCCTAGAACACTTTTCTTTTTAACTAGAAGGATCTCATTTACATCGAGTGCCATCTTTGGTTTTAGTTTTGAGGGCAAACCACCCTCAGCAAAAGAATTTTCAACCTGCATGGAGTAAGATGAATCATCATTACAGATTGTTTCTGCCAGAATAACAATAAATCAAAAGGACAGGACAATGAAGACCAGGTCCAGAACCTCAGATAGACTAATACCTCTTTTCAAAAGAATTACACATACACTACAGGAAGCTCAGCCTAGCTTGGGCCTTGTTTAGATTAGGGTTAGGAATCAGTATTTGGCACTGTAGCACTTTCGTTTGTATTTGACAATTATTGTCCAATCATGGCCTAACTAGGCTCAAAAGATTCGTCTCGTAATTTACAATCAAACTGTGTAATTAGTTATTTTTTTTATTTACATTTAATACTCCATGCATGTGTTCAAAGATTTGATGTGATGGAGAGAGAGTGAAAAAACTTGCAATCTAAACAAGGCCTTGGTTGTGGTGTGAATTAGTTCAAGTCCTCATCGAGGTGAATTTGAGTGCCTACTTTCTTGTTAACATAAAGCCACCTAGTTCCTCCTAGGTTGGTCCAGTTTTTTTAATCACTCATACACTAATTTTTTAAAACACAAATGCCAGGAGCTTTGCAAATTAAGGTAGGAAATGAAGACACTCATACACTATAATGCAATAATGAAACAAATCATAGATGTCTGCTTCAACAGTAGTGAAAGTCGGTTTGCCAAAATGCCACTGAGTATGTCAATGGCATATGGGAGTAGAGTAGGTCCCACATGTTATTGTATAAGTCAACACTTTAATGGAAAAATGAGACTTGTTTTCATTTTATGGAGGCAAGTGTTTCTTTTTTAGAGGACCCACATGTGGCTTGCATAATATAATATCCCCTAAATAAGAATGCCAAAGACTATCAAATATTAATACACACTCTATATGTTCATACCGAAGCATGTTCAATGATATTAGGGGCTTTTTCGTAGCCTCCCAGGCAAGATTCCCGCCAAGCATCGATCCTAGCCCCAGGCCCCTGAAATCAGACACCAGGGGGCGATGCCCAAGCCAGGCAGTCTTGCCTGGGAAACACACCCTTAGACATGCCAATATCTCCAAAGCCAGGCAATGTTTCCCATGTTTATTATTACAGAAATTAATACAATGGTACCTCACGGGCTGCATCCATGCTCAACCTGCGGAGATCAGCATCAGTCCCAGTTACGGCCTTGTTTGCATGTTATCGGATTCACCTCAATCCACATGTGTTGGGGTGGATTGGAGTGAAATTTAGTTCAAGTTCCACTCCAATCCACCCCAAGACATGTGGCTTGATATGAATCCGACCACATCCAAACAAAGCCTACAGTGGTACTCATTGCAGCAGCTGACTTCTTCTTGAGCACTGAATTGGAGGCAGGTGCTTTTGGTGCTACTCGCACATAGTTGAATCCTAACCCACAACCAGATGGATCTCCAACACCAGTGATTTCTAATCTTTCTATATTTTCTCTGCCCTGCACGCACCAAAGGAAATTTGATTAAAATCAGGAAAATGTATACCAAGAAACTAGGGAGCAAGGAAAATTAGCATCATATATCTTTATATTACGCATTTAGAAAAAAACGCACAGATAGACATGCATTCGAACATACATAACCCAACCAAACTAGGACAGCCATTCTTTAACTTTGTCTGGATAGAAACGCTACCAATATATCTGTTTGCAAACCTTTGTCCCTTCTCTCTATGCTGCAGTAGGGCCGATGGAGATGGCCGATGCCGTGCCGCTATAGATGTTGGTGCCTGATCTGTCAAGGGGGAGTGTTAAGTGACATGGGTGATCCTCCATCCTGTCTATACTGATTATTCTACTTCCTTGATTCTCTTCTCTCCTCCATTTAGTGTCACGTTTCTCCCACTTTTAACACACCTCACCTGAATCAATCTTAATTCTATAACCTCCCATCTATCTTGCTGGGTACTAGGCACACCCACTTTCTGATATACAGGACAATGGAGGTCCAAAAGCGGCTGGTTATATGGTTTGTTTGTTGATTGGTGAGCATATATCCTACCAATGGCAGACTCGCAGTTATACACCCAAACATATATATTGTAGTTTAATAAAATCACCAAAGTTCAAAACCTTTTTTGAAAAAACACACCAAGAAAACTGAATCTGGCTCACTACAGGACACAAATTTATTCAACCTTTAAGCAGATGGAATCGCTATGGCTTCTCCAGAGCATAATTTATAATTCTGATAATGCTAGATCTCTATTGCTTCTCCAGTAGCTCAGCCCAAATGGAATAAAAAATACCCATCCCACGAAGACTTATTTATCCCAGTGGGCTGAGGGGAATCGCCATGGACTCGGCTGGGTTTTCTGGACCATGTCACATCCAAAGATCAACCGGTCGAGGGGGGATATTTCATGTAAATCAACTATCATAGGAAATGGACTGGGCTCCCAGCATTCCTGCTCTCATTCCCTGTACACCCAACAAGACCAAATGTGATCATCAACTAATTACCCTGTACAAGTTTTCTTTCTGTTGATACCAAATACTGACGCTTATCTCCAAATATTAATTGGGAACAAATAAATATGAAGGTTATCTGTAGTCTCTCTAAAGCATAGAGCACATCAAGTAGCACTCAGCAGTTTTTACGAACAATACATGGTTTTAGGTCAATGAACTGATATTGAATAAAAGTAGTGATGTTCTGGATCAGATTACTTGAGTAAAACACCATATGAGACAAAGAGTAAGGTACCTGATTAGTACAAGCAACAAAATTACTTGTAAGATTCCAGCTAGTGATTTGCAGTTCCCTCTCGATATGTGATGCAGCAGCAAGCTCAATAGCCTCATCAGGAAGCTGATTCATGGCAGAAGCCAGTCCAACAGGCTGAGTACCATGTGTGATTGACAGATACCTTCAAATCTGCACAATGCTTCAATTGTTTTTTCACTATAGCTTCTGTCAGAGGACTTTGTATGGGTAACTCGTCAGCTCAAATCTGAGGAATAACATCAGGCCTCTCTCTAGCATGAAACTCACGATAAACATATGCAAGGCCTCTCTCAAGGCACTGAAAGCTTAAAATTATTTACTGTTAGAAAATAGGGAAAACATTCCTGAATTATAATCTCTCTCCGGCATTTCTTACAAAATATTATTGAAAGCTAACTAGAGAATTCCTGAATCCGAGCTAACAAGGACTGCACACAAGATTATTTAACCTGTTGATAAAAAGAGAACATCTCTCTAGAGAATTTCCTCATTCAAAGCATGCCACACAGCAGGGCCATAAAATTAGAGCACAGGACATAATAGTCCCTCCAACAAATTGGCATCTCACGTAAACATGATCAGCACAGTTGAAAACTCAATTGCTTTTTTTCGTCAACACTCAACTGTTGGCTTCATTGAGGAAACTATACTTTTCAGGCAGAGACTTTGCATGGTGCTGATATTCACCCCTCGAGAAAAGTGATATAAGCACAGAAGTAGTGGAAGCCTCAAGTGAGAAATTCTTCTCATCAAGTTTGGAGAGGCAAGCCAAAGCCCTGCTAACGTCACCTCTCTGCAACAGCCTCCTAACTAGAGCATTTAACATACGTGAGTCTGGAGCAGTACCACTCTTTTCCATTGTTGAAAACGGACCATCAAACTCCTCTAGCAACCCTTCTTGTATGAGATTTTCTGCAACTAAGCAATAGGTCACAACATCTGGAACCAAACCATTAGCAGGGATAGCAGCTTAACAAATCCATGGCATCTTCCTTTTGCCAACTTTGAAAAAGCACCAATCATGATGTTGAAAGTTATAATGTCAAGTTGAAGATCCTTAGAACACATGATCTGAAACATTTTGAATGCTTCGTCAACATAATTATTTTTGCAAAGACCATTTAGAATTATGCTGTGTGTGTAAATGTCCCACTCTTTACCACCTTCGAGCATTCGAACCACCTCATTCCACTGTCCTATGGAGAGATATCCATGGATCAGACAGTTATATGTGTCATTGTCTGGCTTAACACCATTATCAATCATCTACTGAAAGACACCGTTGGCCCTATCAACCATTTGAGATTTGCACAGGCCATCAATTACTGTGTTGTATGTCACAACATTCGGTTGAATCCCCCGATCCATCAAAGAAACCGTTGATGACGGTGCTGTATGCCACCACATTTGGTGGGCAGCTTCTACCTTGATCGTTAGCCATCATATGCAGCAGCTCAAATGCCGCCTCAGCTCTGTTGTCATTGCAGAAACCCTTGAGAAGTATGCTATATGAAACTACATTTGGCGTGCAGCCAAGCTCAGGCATTCGTTGGAGCAGCTCAAGTGCCTCCTCAGCTCTGTTGTCATTGCAGAAACCATTGAGAAGTATGTTATATGAAACTACATCTGGCGTGCAGCCATGCTCAGGCATTCGTTGCAGCAAAACGTCCATGGCCTCGCCCACCCTCTTTGCGTCACAGAGACCATTGAGCAGTTGACTGATGACTATGTCATTCACCCTCCAGCCTGTCTTAAGGATGAGGCCAAAGGTGGTGAAGCCATGATTCAGGTGGCTCATACGGCAGAAGCAACCGATGAGGATGCTGTAGGTGAAACTGTCGGGAGCCACCTTGTGGGAGCAGTCACGTATCATCCGGTTGAAGAGGGAGATGACGAGGTCTGAGCCTGAGGTGGAGGAGCGCCGGCCTGAGGCACGTGAGACAGCAGTGAGGATCTGGTTGAAGGCAATGACCGAGGCGGGCCTGACGTGGAGAAGCAATTTGTCAAACAGCTTCAGCGCGTTGCTGAGGCCGAGTCTTCACGAGCGGGCGGGGCCGGCGATGGCGCGCTCCAGCTCCAAGCACCGGTCGCGTACGGCGCTCACGCGGCGTGACATGCCGACGGTGCGCGGGTGATGGGGCCAGTAGCCCCGCGAGGAGAGGCACGGACGGGCGGCGCGCTGCGTCCGCCTCCGGATCGGAAGCAGAACACACTCGTGAGCTGGGTGGAGCCGCCTGTACCGTGCCCTGGGTTGTGTGGGCGGCGGCGGCGGCGCGCAGCTGGGCGCGCTGGTGGTTGGGCAGGCGGGGCGACGGGCGCAGGTGCTGCTGGGGCGCTCGCCGTTGAGCCTCAACTGCTGCGCCTGGGCGCTACTGAGGTCCCCAACCCCAAGGGCGTGACTGCCTCACCTCTATCTTGAATGTTTTTTCTTTTTTTTTCTCCCACATCACAATGAAGCCTGATCTTATCAAACACACAGATTGGTGCGGTGCGATCCAAGCGGAAGGTAATTTATTCGCAAAACTACTCATGTACAATTATCACAGTATTTTCCTCAAGAAAAAAACAATTATCACAGTACAATCACGCCAATTCAGAAGACGGATTTCCTCTCAGATTTTTCTTTTCTACCGGGCCTGCACCGTCGTCACTGTGCTGCAGAAACCCGCCGGCGTTTGGCTGGTGATCAAGCTCCTGTTACACTCGCCTGTACGGCCGTCGGGGGCTGTTGAGCAGCACCTTCTCCTCGATGGGGAGCCTGTACGGGGACACCTTGAACCGCTCGCTCTCCCGGCGCCGCCGCCGCTCCCGGGAGTGCACCACCCACGCCGCCGCGGCGAGCATCGCGGCCAACGACGCCGCGAGCAGCGCCTGGTACAGCTGGCCGCTGTCCCGCCGCAGCGGGGGCAGCCGCGCTGGCTCACCGTCTGGAACGCGCGCCGCACGGTCACGCAGCTCGCGATGTCGGCCAGGGCGGGGGACTGCCCGCGCAGCCCGTCGCTGAGGCCGGCCACGGTGACCATCTGGGAGTACATCGCCGGCGTCAGGCGGCCCACCGTCGAGCACACCTCCTGCCCCGACGACCCCGTCGCGCGGCACACGTAGCGCTGCCACACCTGATGCGAACACGCAATGCAAAAGCGCGTCAGATATGAGGCGACCAACGACGCGCCATGGCGAATTGGCGATAGCGGTTCTTTGTCCGTGCCGTGCCGTGCCGTACGGCGTGCGTGCGTACCTGTTGCGCGTTGTCGGTGGTGACCTCGCCGGCGGCGCAGGATCGGTCGGAGAGGTCGGCGGCGTTGTAGGGGCTGCATAAGAGCGGCACGAGAGGCCCGGACTGGTTGTAGTAGAGCGGAGGGCCGACCTGGGCAGGCACGTCGCGGTTGGACACGTTGGAGACCAGCTCGTTGAGCTTGGAGACGAGCTGGAAGTTGACATCCTTGCTCCGGCGCAGGGCCTCCGCCGTCACCGCCGCGTCGGCGCAGGGGAGGATGTCGTCCAGCGCCGTGTGGCTCTGCCCCTGCGGCTGGACCACCCACTCGTCCATGGCCACGCAGGTGTCGCCTATCACGCTGAACACATGGCCAAATTCAAAGGTCGCAGTATACTATGTTAACTTGTACAGTGCTTAGCATTTGAAATGAGTTTTGAAATTTGGACGAACTGGAACAAAAACATCCAGATTTGTTCAGAAATCGTTCTAAAACCAACCATAACAGGCGGCAACAGCTTACTTGTGCAGGAGAAGGAAAGTGCCGGACAGTATTAGTGTCGCAGTGATTATGATCCATCCAAGAAACACCACTCTGCCAAAATACAGAAACTGAAACTTAGCACACCAATATTGGCCCTGTTCGCTTCGCTAAGAAAATAAGTCGAAACACTGTTCCGGCTAATTTGTTGTGAGAAAAAACACTGTTCCGACTGAAAAAAAAAGCTGAAAAAGACGGATTATAAGAGAAGCGAACGGGACCATAATCTCTGGAAGAACCTGTTACATCAAGTAGTGTCAGAGTTGGATGCGTATGTTCTCTGTATGCTGTGGTAATGTGCTTACATGGACACAAGCGACTTCTTCCCGGTCAACGAGAACACTGCAACAAATTGTTGAGAGAAATTTCGTAAGAATCAGAAAAATAAATGATGTCATAATTTCAAGCTGGTCAAGTAAATAAGTAGTGTATATATTTTTCTTCTTCTGAAGACTTGGTAAGAGCAATTTATGCTCACCGAAGCCAAGAAGCACGAGGACGAGCATCACGGCCGCGACACCAATCAGGACCTTCCTTCTGCAATCACGTAAAGCAAACAACCGATCAAGATCATCCAGGATGGTACCACGAGTTCATCTCGCCCATCAAGAATCTTGCAAGTCACAGACGACGAATCAGAGTCAGTGGCGACGTTTTCAGTACGTACATGGTGTCCAGCGCTGTCCGGATCCTGCGGGAGTTGCTAGCCGTGCGCGCGGTGAGCTCGTCGGAGGCCGCGTCCACCCGGCCCGCGACGTCGTCGATGCTCCGCGCGACGTCGGCGGGCAGCGAGGCCACGCCGCCGCCCACCGTCTTCGCCGTCTGCAGGAGGCCCGTGAAGTTGCGCATGGTGGCCGCGGCGCCGTCGGCCTGTCTCACCACGTAGTCCAGCGTCGCCGTCGTGCTGCCGTTGAACTTGCCCTGCCCGTCGTACAGAACCGCACACCCGATGCTGCGACACGCGATCAGTTCATGATTGCCGCCGCCGGCTTATCCGCACACAGGTGCAACGATTGGTTGGTTGATCGAGCTGGGAAGATCGGTTGCTTTGCTTACACGGCTGCGGCTGTGAAGACGAGCAGGAGCAGGAGCGAGAGAGCGAACACCCGGCGCGAGTAGGAGTAGCTGCTGCTGCCGCCGCCGCCGCGGCAGCAACAGCTGCAGCAGCAGGCGATGAGCGCCGCCGCCGCGACCGCGACGAACCAGAGCGCGGCGAACGCGAACACGGGCGCCGCGCTGAAACCTGAAGACTGCATGCAACACCACACGGGTCACGCGGCGGGACGCCATGAATCATCAGCTACGGGCACCATGCTTTGAACTGGCAAGCGGCAGCCGGCAGGCACAAGAAGAAACCAAGAACTCACCGCCAGGTAGTGCCTGTTGCTGATGTTCCAGCCGCCGGTGTAGTACCTGAGCCCGTCGAGGGGGTCCTTCCGCCGCGTCCGCTCCGCCGCCAACAGGGTCGTGTCGTTGGACGCCGCAGCTGCGACGATGGCCGATTCATCTACGTGTCAGCTCACCGATCTTGGTCCGCACAAGAAGTTCTTCATGTGAAGGAAAAAGGCTACCTGATACATGGGCGCAGAGGGTTGCAGAGACGAGGAGGACGACGAGCCAGCTTCTGCCAGACGGTCCCATGGCTGCCCAGCTGCCTACGCAAGCGAAGCTCCGAGGCGACGCTGATCAAATGAACTGCAAAATGTGTACATGACCGAGTATATGCACTCAGCAATCGGCGAACTGGTCGCGCGAAAAAAAATGTAATGTTTTCTTTGTCGTCAGAGAAGTGGATGCATGGGCGTAAGGTGTTAGGTGTGACCGTGTCCTTGTGCGTCTGGGAGATGCATGCAAAGTTGCAAACGCTGCTGGGTGCTGGCCGGGCCTTCATCTGTTGCCAAGTAATGCAGAGCTTGTTATATGGCGCTGCGAAAAGCTCTGCTTGTTCGAGTAAATAAATTCAGGTCATTTCGCAGTTTCGTCGCTGCCATTGCAAAAAGAAAAAAAAGACAGTAGTTTATATATTTATATTTTTATATAATAAATATGTTGAGACCAGATGTTCGTCTCCTGGCTTTCCTTTTTTTTTTAAAAAAAAAGGTGTTCCTTGTCCTGAACAGACGATCCAAGCGCCATCGTACCTATATCTAGGTTTCTGAAACTTTCCTTAGCCGTGTGGAACTGCTATACCTTAGGTGAGAGCATCTCAAATCGAACCTTCACGAGTTATACAGAGCCTGTTTAGATCCACCCAACTTAAGTTTAGCCTGGTAAAATTTCAAAGTTGAACTTTAGCCAGCTAAAAGTTCTTCCAGCTAAATTTTTAGCTCGGGTGTTTGATCCTCCAGCTAATAAACTCAGCTAAACTTTAATTATGTTTAGCTGGGTTGAAGTAGCTAAACTCATCTAAACTTTAGCTAGTCTTTTAGGTAGGCCATTTGGATCCCTAACAGCTAAAGGTTAGATAGTGGATCCAAACATGCCCTTAAGTTGTCTATACTCTAATAGGTGTATATATCCAAGATTTTGTTTAAAAATAATAATAGATGTGTAAGAGTATCTCCAAAAATTCTCTAAACCCCTTCCTAATCCTAAATTTTTAAAAATATTAAAAAAAATCCTCTCCAACCACTCTCGATACTTCCTCCTCCCCGTTCCGCGTAACTTTAAGCGGACGTGACTCGCGCGGATACGGCTTCCTCCTCCACACCTGAAGCCAGCCAGCGGCGCCACCTCGCATGGAAGCGACGACTATGCTTCTTCTGTTCACCCTCCTCCTCGCCGGGCAACGAGGCTGCACCTACACGGCCTCTGTTGTTGCCGGTGAAGGCGGGTTTCAGCGTGGACTTCATCCACCATGACTCCGCCAGGTCGCCGTTCCGCCTCCCCGCGCTGTCCCCGCATGCCCGCGCGCCGCTCGCTCCAGGGCGAGGTGCTCGGGCGCTCTTACAGCGGCGCGTCTCCCGCGGCCGCGCCCGTGTCCGCGGCCGACGGCGGCGTCGAGTCCAAGATCATCACCAGGTCGTTCGAGTACCTGATGTACGTGAACGTCGGTACGCCGCTGACGCAGTTGCTCGCCATCGCCGACACCGGCAGCGACCTCGTGTGGGTGAACTGCAGCAGCAACGGCGGCGATGGTGGCGGCGACGGCCCCGCGGACGTGGACGCAGTTGTACTGGGTGTTCTCCGTCGGAGGCCGTATCCATGTCCAGTGCGCGTCTCCCGGCCTCGCGAAGCACAGCTGGTAATCTGGCCAGTACACGAGCACGACGACGCAGTCGGCGTCCGATGGGTCCGACGAGATGATCGCCCGGACGTAGAGGTAGTTGATGAGCTCACGCGCGTCCAGCGTGGTGGCCGCGTTGGCGGGATCGTACACCCACAGCGACGAGTCCGTACTGGTATTCTACTCCTGGTACATCTTTGGCTGCTGGATCTCAAGCAGCAGCTGCTGGTGCATCTTCGGCTGCTGGATCTCAAGTGCAAGCTGCCGACGACGTGCGCGAGCTCCTCCTCTCAAGCCGCAACATAATTCATGTGGTCTCAAAATTGATTTTTTAATATTATTTATTAGAAACTCTTGGAGACGATCTTCTTTTTTTCTCCTCAAATTTTTTTAGGAGTTGCCAAACTACATGTTTTTAAAAGAAAAAAGTAGGAAATTCTTGGAGATACTCTAATCCTAGATTTTTTTTAAAAAAAAACTTATCTCTTTGTGCAATAAGGACACACGGGAGTACGGAAGTACGCGTAGCACATTGTTTAAAACGACGAATAATTGCCCGGTTAGGTTAACATCCATGGGTAACATCCAATGACACCGCCATGAGTACCCAGTCAAGGCCAGTGCACATCATTAAACGTCTCGCAAGTTAAGCAAAATAACTTGTCCGGCATAAATCGTTTTGTTACTAGTATTGACTTTGGGCATCCATGTCAGACGTCCGATTAAAGACGTAACTACATGCCACGATAGATGCCAAGTTGCCAACAGATGCATTATACTATTATATATATTCATATCAGATGGTTCAGACTCAGGGGCCTGAGCTGACCTTCATTTCGGCATGATTGAAATTTGTCCATCAGCTTTGTGGTTCAGGGTTCAAAGCATACACCTCCAGATATAAGAAATAAGGTTGAAATAAGACCTAGAGAAGTTAGAAAGTGTGCACCCAGGCACGTACTGCAGTCTATTGATTCATGCTGCACTTGAACGCCATTCACATTACATCAAATACTGCAAGACAAACGGATTGATGGACCGATATCATGTATATGGACAGATTACATTCTACATTTTTACAACATGAGGCCATTGGTTACGGCGGACTCTAAGTGACTAACCTAGATCTTTTGTACTTCCACCAACTCCCAACCCAATACCAACAGTAGGTAAAAACAGCTGGATTTGGGATTGCATGTAAATTACTGCTAGGACCCAAAAATGTACAACTTTTCCCCTCCTACAGATCAGCAAATACATCATCTATGTTAGGTTATAGCAAGATCCACATGCTAAATCTAATTATTATATTGCTATTCAATAGCATCTTCCGCCTCGGTGAGCAGATCTGCACTTTGGTCAAGCAGGTAGTCGCAGACCTCCATGAGCTCGTCAGCGAGTGGAGGAATGTGAGGATGGCGATCGTCATTGTATAAGTGTGCGTTCAGTTGTATCTGTGCTACATCGTGCCTGAATTCATCCCGGTTTCTGTACACCATCTCTCTCACCTTGTCTCTAATGGTACCAAGATCCATTGGGTGCTGTATGAAGTCAAGGTAATCAGGAGCATCTTTCTTTGTCACTGGTTTTAAAAATAGCAGTGATCCACTCAAACCCCGCAAGTGATCAACTATCTTTTCCAATATGTTGGAGAGCTCAACCTGCATGACGAGGAAGCAATTAATCAAGCCCGAATTCCATTTCCAACAAATCCCTCCATGTGTAATTTACTTTATTCTCTTTTAACAGTTGTACAATGCAATAAGCAAACCCTACTGTATCAAATTATCAGTTTGTATAGAAAAAGTTCAGCAAAACAATTATCAAATAGTGGCAAAATACTTAAACAAGTGGGTGGACAATAACACTAAAACCACAGAAATTTACTGCATTTTAAAATACAAGACATACTAGCTTTTGCCATCTTGTTTCAAAATCCTTTAGTGTGTTTATTTTAATGATATTTTCTTTCTTTTACCATGATTATTGTTATATCACACAGCTATATTCTCAATAGGCAAGAGGCAAGACATTAACACAGGTGATGCTATCGTCATTTTCCAAAGCACTTGCAATAAACATATAGGTGAAAGCTAAGAAAATGCACCTCTCCTCCTCTGCGACGCGCTTAGCAGATGGCGATATCCAATCACATGAGGCGGACTAGATCTTTTTACTGCTCGATGTCTTTCAGGTACCCTTCTGTCATTTCTGTACGGCCTGTGATCAAGTAAGTCATCATCTTTGAATTCATGTTTTTTCTTTTTCTTTATTTTCTTTTTTGCCTTTAGATGGTCTTCATCCCTCGATGCATATATCGTAGCATCAAAGAGCCTTGGTTGTGGCATTTCTCTTTGCTCCTCAAAATCTCTCCAGGATCTGTCATTTTGCATTGTGGCTTTGCTTCTTTTTCCTTCCAGACCCAGCCTCCTCTCATGTGAGGAATTCATCTGGCTGGGTTCCCCACCAAACCAATGATCATCCTCTCTACTTCTATCCTCAAAACTCGATAATTCTACAATTTTTCTTGTCTTTCTGGTGGGCTCCTGACCACTCCTAGGTTCAACATGTCTTTGCTGGTCTATGCCTTTAGGCTGCTTGATGGTGATCTTTTTGCGAGGTGCATTCTTTTCTTCAGCAGGAGGCCGAAATACAACAGATGGCTTTGGAGTGTCAGGAGGGAAATCATCAGACTTCATCTTATTAGGTATCACTATCTTATTTACCTTTCCAGTAGATCTACTGTCTGTAACATCCATGACACGTTTATCAGAAACGAGTGAAACGGAGAGTGACATGTTCCTCTCCAAGGATTTATCAGGTGCCCCTACTTTGAATTTTACTGGGACAGATTTTGTCTTTTCAATACCTTCTGGCCCTTCAGTTTCAGTAACTTCAGAGGAAACTTTTGGTATCAATCTTTTAGGTATCTTTGCTTGCAAATGGTTTATATCCGTAGGGTTGGACTTAACTGAATTAGCATCCATTTCTGAAATTTCTGGATCCTCCCCATACTTGGGGCACAGTTTGTTAGTCCGCATATGCCCAACCTATACAACAGCAATGAGACAAAAAAAATAATAAGTCATGAAACATAATAATATTTTTCAGAAGGGCGCATGCAAGAAATTGTTTTACTGAGCCTACCTGACCACAGGCTCCACAAACAAGAGTATCCCCCCTTGCACCCTGTTTCTTCTCCTGAAAATATGGAAAAGCATGCCACATAAGACCCACAATAGCAAAAGACCAGATCAGCTTCTATATGTATCGCGCGTTTGAGAAAGAAAGCTTCTCTATGAATCATCGAACTAACACGTATTCAATTTTAGAATTTTAGAGCATACTTCCAACCTAATACTTTTATAGGCACAATAGCAAACCAATATCCAGTGGCACTGAATGGCAGCAATACCTTAAATTGCCACCATATTACAAATACAAACTTGTGCATTTTGGTATCCAACTTAGATTAACACCCATCAGCTACTTCTGCGTTAAGCCTCGTGGAAAGGAAAACACCACAAGTGCAACACAATTGACGTACCGAATATCATTATACCATATGCACTGGTGCAGGTGTCTAATGTTAAAATAAGTATAATGGAGAAAAAAGCTGATTCAAGTCGTCACACAAAAGTATTCATGTGGATAGAACTACTTCACATATCACAGTCATCTTTCTGGGCTTACCTTAGGTCCATCCTTTCCTAGAACACTTTTCTTTTTAACTAGAAGGATCTCATTTACATCGAGTGCCATCTTTGGTTTTAGTTTTGAGGGCAAACCACCCTCAGCAAAAGAATTTTCAACCTGCATGGAGTAAGATGAATCATCATTACAGATTGTTTCTGCCAGAATAACAATAAATCAAAAGGACAGGACAATGAAGACCAGGTCCAGAACCTCAGATAGACTAATACCTCTTTTCCTTCTCTTGGTGTGCTCTCCTTTGGGGTTAATGCACCAGCATAACCAGATGATTTGATCATTTGCCCAGTCTTACTCTGCTTCATTTTATTGGCACCTATAGAGGTGCCACAATTTGTCAATTCCGCAGGCTGCTTTTTCCTCTTGACATCATTACCATCGTCTGCATCGTAAGAGGCCATAAATCATATGCACCAGCGGTCGGTTTTGCAAAGAACATAGAAGAAAATAACTACCTTCAAGTAGTTTCTTTGCCAGAGAGGCTTCTGTTTCATCATCTTCAATTTCCTCATTAATTTGGGCATGCGAAGAGCACCTTCTCATTTTAAGTCCTCTCATTCCATCTGCTTTGTCAATTCTCAAGTCTGCTGTACTAGTATCCTCATCATCAAATTCTTCTGCGTCTAGCAAGTTCTCAAGATCCCCAGCAAATGAGTCTAGATCACTGTTAGCTTCTGTGTCACTGCCATTGTCATCACCTTCTATAGCTGAAAGTGACTGAACTTGTCTGTCCCAAATTTCCTGACATTTCTCCCTAGTTTGCTGCTGAAGTTGCAGAAAAGACATCCTTTGTCCACGTGCAAACTTACTAACAGGAATTTCGTCAATAGTAATTCCCGATGCAGCTTGTTCACTTGAAAGCTTCCTCACCATAGCAATCCGATGCCACCTTGTTAATTTATCAATTTGCTCTTCAGGTACGCCGAATTTCAGCAGCAACTATATATAGCAGTGCATCAATTATTTAGTGAACAAAGTAGAAAGGTGGAATAAATGAAGGACATGCAACACATGCCAAGCTTTGGAGGTGGTCACTATGGATTTCCTTTTCACCAAGAATGGGTGCAGATTTGAGCAATATGCTTTGTGATCAATGATAAATGATACACCATATATTCTATTATAGTTGCTTCCTTCAAATTCTCAGCTGTGAGCTGATATGATGCATCAATGAACCAGGCTGTATGCAAACTATGCAATGGCTGGAATAAGTTTATGTTTCCTAAAAAGATTCACAATTTTCATTCTCAAAAGTATTACACATACACTAAGCTCAGCCTAGCTCGGTTGAGGGTGTGAATGTCACCTAGTTGAAGTCCTCGTCGAGGTGCATTTGAGTGCCTACTTTCTTGTTAACATAAAGCCACCTAGTTCCTCCTAGGTTGGTCCAGTTTTTTTAATCAATCATACACTATAATTTTTCAAAACACAAATGGCAGGAGCTTTGCCCTTCAATTAAGCTAGGAAAACAAGACACTCATACACTATAATGCAATAATGAAAGAGACCATAGATGTCTGCTTCAACAGAGTGAAAGTCAGTATGCCAAAATGCCACTGAGTACGTATGGGAGTAGGTCCCACCTGTTATTGTATAAGTCAACACTGCAATGGCAAAATGAGAATTGTTTTCATTTTATGGAGGCAAGTGTTTCTTGTTTAGAGGACCCACATGTGGCTTGCATAATATAATGATCCCCTAAATAAGAATGACAAAGACTATCAAATATTAATACACACTCTATATGTTCATATATACTGAAGCATGTTCAATGATATTAGGGCTTTTTCGTAGCCTCCCAAGCAAGATTCCCGCCAGGCATCGATCCTAGCCCCAGGCCTCTGAAATCAGACGCCAGGGGGCGACGCCCAAGCCAGGCAGTCTTGCCTGGGAAACACACCCTTAGGCATGCCAATATCTCCAAAGCCAGGCAATGTCTCCTATGTTTATTATTACAGAAATTAGTACAATGGTACCTCACGGGCTGCATCCATGCTCAGCCTGCGGAGATCAGCATCAGTCCCAGTTACAGTGGTACCCTTTGCAGCAGCTGACTTCTTCTTGAGCACTGAATTGGAGGCAGGTGCTTTTGGTGCTACTCGCACATAGCTGAATCCTAACCCACGACCAGATGGATCTCCAACACCAGTGATTTCTAATCTTTCTATATTTTCTCTGTCCTGCACGCACCAAAGGAAATTTGATTAAAATCAGGAAAATGTATACCAAGAAACTATGGAGCAAGGAAAATTAGCATCATATATCTTTACATTTCGCATTTAGAAAAAACGCACAGATAGACATGCATTCGAACATACATAACCCAACCAAACTAGGACTGCCATCCTTTAACTTTGCCAGGATAGGAACGCTACCAATATATCTGTTTAAACTGATTATTCTACTTCCTTGATTCTCTTCTCTCCTCCACTTAGTGTCATGTTTCTCCCACTTTTAACACACCTCACCTGAATCAATCTTAATTCTCTAACATCCCATCTATCTTGCTGGGTACTAGGCACACCAACTTTTTGATACACAGGACAATGGAGGTCCAAAAGCGGCTGGTTATATGGTTTGTTTGTTGATTGGAGAGCATATATCCTACCAGTGGCAGACTCGCAGTTATACACCCAAACATATATATTGTAGTTTAATAAAATCACCAAACTTCAAAACCTTTTTTTGAAAAAACACACCAAGAAAACTGAATCTGGCTCACTACAGGACACAAATTTATTCAACCTTTAAGCAGATGGAATCGCTATGGCTTCTCCAGAGCTTAATTTATAATTCTGGTAACGCTAGAGCTCTATTACTTCTCCAGTAGCTCATCCCAAATGGAATCAAAAGTACCCATCCCATGAAGACTTATTTATCCCAGTGGGCTGAGGGGAATCGCCATGGACTCGGCTGGGTTTTCAGGACCATGTCACATCCAAAGATCAACAGGTCGATGGGGGATATTCCATGTAAATCAACATCATAGGAAATGGACTGGGCTCCCAGCATTCCTGCTCTCATTCCCTGTACACCCAACAAGACCTAATGTGATCAACAACTAATTACCCTGTACAAGTTTTCTTTCTGTTGATACCAAACAGTGACCCTTATCTCCCAATATTAATCGGGAACGAATAAATATGAAGGTTATCTGCAGTCTCTCTAAAGCATAGAGCACATCAAGTAGCACTCAGCAGTTTTTACGAACAATACATGGTTTTAGGTCAATGAACTGATATTGAATAAAACTAGTGATGTTCCGGATCAGATTACTTGAGTAAAACACCATATGAGACAAAGAGTAAGGTACCTGATTAGTACAAGCAACAAAATTACTTGTAAGATTCCAGCTAGTGATTTGCAGTTCCCTCTCGATATGTGATGCAGCAGCAAGCTCAATAGCCTCATCAGGAAGCCGATTCATAGCAGAAGCCAGTCCAACAGGCTGAGTAAGCTTCAGAATTCCTAAGCGCTTGAGACGATAAAGACCAGCTTGCATACTCTCATAACAGCAAACCTGGATAATGATGTTTTAGTTGAGTCATCGTGATATTTCGGATTGAAAAGAGAACTGTATTTAGACATCAAGGCAACAAGGTAAGGCAACCTTCAAAGAATAAATATCCTCATTATTTAGGTATTTTTGCTTTCAATAGAACTTTCTATATGAAAATATTCAGCAGTCAACTTACTCTGATGACCCAATTTTTAAAAACATTTCACCCTATATATTTGGAAATGTGGGTATGGCTTAATAACCAGTGCTTGTGGTCCATATATAGCCAGCACAATGTGATAAGCACTCACATTTCCACGAGAATTTCCGTGCAAAATAAAGCATTTCTTCGAAAGATAAGCTTGCTATCCAGTTCTGTTGTTGTATTGGCGATTGGCAAAAGACTTGGCCAGTTTTTAGTGAAAGGAGCATTGAAAAGGTTTGGAGCGACAGCATGCAAGACCTTTGAAGCCTGATAGTTGTTGTCCAAGTTGGTGCCATTTTGCCTTGGTAGATGTTTGGTTATTAGTTGTGATAGTTGTTTAGTCGGTTTAGCTGGAGTGTGAGTTGTTTAGTGGTTTGGCCGTTTCTTTCTAGTTGGCTCATTGTTTGTTTTTTTGAGCAGCTAGTGGTGTTGAGTTTGTCCGTGGAGAACTTTTGTTGTTTTATTAGTTGTGTTTGGGGGAGGTGGTGTTGGGTTTTCGGGCCTGGTTTCCCTAAAAAAACTGGGCCAATACTTGTTTCTTTTTCTTCTTCTAATAAAATTTATGCAAAGCTTTTGCCATCCTTTTCGTGGAAAAAATTTGTCATCAAGAAACAACTGATTGACACAAGGGCAACAATAATTTGCAGAAACTCACACTTTCTGGCGTCAATAATCTCCTCAGTTCTTCCTCTGATGGAACCCGGAAATCAGGTCTCTGTGTCCAGAAAAAATGCCCCTTTGGTCCTTTCTGTAAGGAAGTGCAGGAGAGCATTAAATATGGTTGAATAAGAGTCCAGAATTAAAATATAAAAATGTACAGATAGAGAAACTATGTATAACATGTGTGATAGACAGATACCTTCAAATCTGCACAATGCTTCAACTGCTTTTTTTCACTATAGCTTCTGTCAGAGGACTTTGTATGGGTAACTCGTCAGCTCGAATCTGAGGAATACTATCAGGCCTCTCTCTAGCACGAAACTCACGATAAACATATGCAAGAACTCGGTTCAGAAGATAATTCTGCACGTTCTTAGTCCCTGGTGAAAAGACTTCCATATGAGGTTCCTGCAGGAAACCATGACTATTAAGTTATGGATGAAATTGTTAAAGTTCCAAGACAGAACAGCTCCTAAACACTTTATGATTTATTTTAAATGTACTGTTCTAACAACAGCAGAAATTGAATGGAAACAAGAACTCGAGGAGCATTCTTGACACAAAAAACAAAGAACTCAAGGAGTGTTACATTTGTTTGACAAAAGAAGTGAATACGGAACATAATTTCTTCAGACTTTTACGCAGAAATCAATAACCATATACCAGTCATATTTGTAACGTTCATGTTCAGATGTTCTCATGTACTTCTGTTCTCACCTGCTGACAACAAACTGCCATCGTGTAGGGTCATTCAACAAGTGCAATGCCATGCTAAAACTGCGCCAAAGAAGCTTCTAAAACATGCAACACACTACATTACTGAACTTCATAGCAGATCCCTATCAATAAAACAAATTGAATTTCCCTGCTAAGCATAAATGAAAAACATGATGGACGAGAGCTATCTCTACCACTGTAACAAAGGAATATCCAATGTTTCAGCTATGTTCACTAAAGCGGTAAAGCCTAAAGGTCCCACACAGAAAAAGCACAAGCTAAACCTAAGAGGAAACAATGAATATTTCAGAACATGGTCTGCAGTGTAAAGCTTGGAATTGCACCACAGCAGAGAATTCAGTGAGGGAATCCTGTACTTGACAATATAAGGAGAAACTTCAGATAGGAAAGGGTTGGAAACATTGCACATCCTACTTATACAGAACATAGTATTTCAGGCACCAGAGCTTACTTGTTGGCCAACAGCATATAGCTTGTCAATGCGACGGAGGGAAAGCACCCCTTTGGCTGAACGAACTAATAAGTAATCAGTTGGTGCAACCTTATGAGGAAATACAGGTGATCTGTACATGTTTGTTTCAAGACAACATTGGTGGGACCCAGAATGTATATCTCCTAGAAAAGGCGATTTGTCAGAAGGATCAATTGCAAGCACTGTGCCCAGTCCATCACTGTTGTTTCGCAGTGATGCAGCTGTCTGATCAGTAGGGGAAGTTTTCTGGTAATATGTACAGAGACGGGCTCCCATTCCTCCATTCGAGAGAAGCAAAGGTCTCTCTTCACAATATCTGCACTCAAGGCAATAAATGACAGATGAATTACTATAGTGGGGAAAAAACATAATCAGAATTTGCCAATGTGCATAACTAACACAGTCTTGCACATATAAACATAATGATTAGCACTTGGCCAAAATATAGAGGTACAACAACAACAACAACAACAACAACAACAACAACAAAATATAGAGGTAAAAGAATAAAAAAATTAATTGTAAAGTATCAGAGCTCTCTATTCACAGTATCTGCATTCATGTGTCACTAACACATGTGCTACCATGATAGGAAGTCCATAATATCGACAAGCAAATCACAAGCACAAATACCTACCCAACAAGCAACCTCACACATACTCCCTCCATTAGTGTAAGGTACATCATCTAAAAATCCAAACATTGTAATTCCTCCATCCAGAAATATAAGCCATATTTTGACTGTCTAAGTTCGAGTTTAATCGATAAATTAATATAAGAATCTACGAGGTATGTGATCAAATCATAGAAAATTGGTATCATTGGATTCGTATTCAAAGGTACATAGAATTGTGATTTTGTAACTATTAATAAAATATTATAAGAGAAATCTCTGGCCAAAGTTCGTAACACTATAAATAAAGCTATGTGATGGAGGAAGTAACTTCTAGATAATAATTCGGTCAACTATATATGAGTTCAATGAGATACAAAACTGGTAGAAAAATATCCCAATTTCAATGTGCATTCTTACGGTTACAATTTTGTAGCTCATAACAACATAATTCAAGAGATATCTATGATCAAATTTTAACTTAACAGACCATGCCACATCAAAAGTTGTGCAATACCACTTGGTTGAACTAGCAACTAACATTCAAAAAATCAGCGCCTATACAAAGTCACATACGTTAAGGTTCATTGAAATTAATACTTCAAAAAACAATAAGGGGGAATAAATTGTACTTACTCCATTAAAAAAACATGTCCATCCTTGATAGACAAGTCAGTTTTTTTCCTGAAAGCCCCAGGAGGGCGTAGAGGCTTGTCCTCACCAGGTAATTTCTGTGCTTTTGGCCATAGATACACTTCAGTGCGAACAACATGCACAATGGAGTTTGGTCGCACATTTTGCATTGCTAACGAGATGTCATCCTGAAGCTCTTTCCCAGAACAGAACAATTTGATCTTCTCGGAAGGCTTCAATTCTGCAAAAAGCCAAGGCAGTGAGAAAACTAATTAAACTGGAGGAAATGACCATTTGTCTTTCCTTTTGGGGGCTTAAATTACACAGTACATGTATTAGCAACCAACTGCTCAACAAAAAGCATAAGCATAACAAAAAAATTCCAAATAAAGAAAAATCAAAGCAAATGGGGGTAGTAAACGGATACCAACCGAACTTCTTTGATGCTTTTAATTTGACAGAGACCGGAGTGTCCTCAGCATTTACCAAAATCTTGACTCCTTTTCCTCCCAATGACATAAGTAAAGCAGCCATCCTCCCATGGCTACAAGCAGTTTCTTGTAACTGAGCGGCAATTTTATTTTCATGTGGGTACCACTTAGCTCTTGGTCTATGAAAGTTTGCAATTTCCTTACTGCACAAAGTTGACAATCAGAGAAGTTACTGTTTATTAGAGATGATTTGGCCAAAAACAATAAACACTATAGTGCAGTTCCATGTGCAAAGAAAAAAATAAAGATGCAGTGGGTGACATAAGCATGACAACGAAATGTGACTTGAAAAACAACCTATGATCACACTTTCGTCAAGCAGTAGATTTAGCTTCCACTTAACCAAATATGACTTGAAAAACAACCTATGATCACACTTTCAAGTTCTGAAAGTTTTCTTTTATAGGTTAAGAGGAAATATCAGGTGCACAAAGAGTCTTTGAACACACACAAACTAAATCTTTTGCCTTGGTGGGAGGTGGGAGCTCCTTCATATTTCTTAAGACTGAGGATTCAGACAGATAGAAAGCTGAGGGATGGCGAAATTTCCACCTCCGAGCACAAGAACGAGTTGGTGCATATGTTTCCAATACATACTCTCATGCATCTGATACTTTATCTTTATCTTGAACAGGGGCATAACTATCTCCATCAAATAGCCATGCAGACTAAAGAATATTCATAGTTACAGAAATATTTCCTCGGAACAACAAACCACTGCTACTCTAGATTAGATATAGATAAAGGCTCAAAATTAAATAAATATTCAGTTAAAAGGAATATGTTACTTAAAAAAATATTATTCACTCTTGCATTTCTAGTCACGTCAATGAAGTAACAATGTAACAGTTGAAAGCATGACAAATTCATTTGAGTCGCTTGTAAGACAATAGAAGATGAGAAATCATGGATGCACATAATCAGAATTTGGCAGGAAGGGATGGAGGCCTCATACTTGCTCAATACTGGCTTCATGGTTTGCAGCTTATGAGCTGGAGCAGAATGCACCACCTTTATGCCCATTAAAGCACGTTTTTTAGTATGAGATTTAGCTTGCTGTGGAGTCTTCCTATTTGAATAAAACTTGTCATTGGAGATGTTGAATCTGCCACTCAATGTCTTTGCTTGATTGTCAAAATTATCAACTGTTGGTGTTGAAGTATTGGTTGACTGACTAACAATCATAGCACGAGCATGAGACCGGAGGTGATCCACATTCTTTTCATCTAGGATCTCAAAAAGCATATGATCATCTTTGAGGTCAAAGATCAGTTTAGGCTTTGGGGTAACCTCAGTAGGATCCCAAATTATGTTGTCCAACCATGATCCTTCTAATAATTCCCTGTTCAGTAAACTAAGGTTATTTAAACGCATCGTGGTGTCAATTTTAACTGTATCATCTAAGTTATTTGGCGTTATGTGATCTAAGTTATCTTCATTTGTCAGTGGAGGGTAACTTTTCCCAGGGGAACAGTAGTTATCTGGAGCAGGCATTTCTGTACAACCAAAAGTCTCTTCAATTACTGGGGAACCATTGCTTTTACTCTGTACATCCCAACACCTGGGGACCTGGCCATAATCCTTACCCTGGTCTTCACCATGAGTGTCCACACTCTCTTCAGATTCACAGATTTTTGCATAAGGCTGCTGATCAGTTGCTGGTGAATTGTTCCAAATGATATCATTTTCCCAATCATCATGCTCAAGTGGATAAAAATCAGGACAAATTGGAGATCGCTGGACAGTACGAATATCCTTATGTGCATCTTTCATTGGTTGTTCTGAAAGACATGAATCCTTTAGCCTTAAAGTGACATCAGAAATAGACTCATCACTGTCACTCTCAACAAAATCTTCATTCATCTGGATGTGCTTCAAAGTTGAGAAATTTTGGATAGTGCTCCGGAGAATTAGTTCCTCATCTTCTTCAACATTGTCAGCAACATTTGTGATCTGAAGCTCTGGAAGTAATTACAACAAGACAAATATGATATTAGATGTATTCAAATGTTTTGACCCGGAGTAACTGCGATAACAAGCTATTGACTTGCGGCACATAGGAGCAACAAAGCCTTGTGGTAGTTTGATGTTAGGAAAATAAAGTACATATGTACATTCATATAGCAGTAAAAAAAAGATCAAATACATTCCTTTTGTGGAAATCAGCAGAAAATAAAGCAATTGTCAACAATGGTTATGCTGCAAAAGGATCAATAAATCAAACTAGAAGTCATACAGATGCAGATTAGGTTCACATATTAATAATTTTTCTTAACACCAATCAATTAGAAGACCTGAAAGAAATAAGGCAACAACCTTCTTGCCTTTCCATATAGTTGGCCCTTTTGATAGGCTATATCTTTTTTACAGTTATCGGAACGATGAGGCGAATTAGACCTCACGTGCAGCATTTGTATTTGGCCTAGTTTCAAAACACTGTAATAATAACTAGGCCTAATCAGAAGAGGCAGGAGCCAATTTGTATAGAACTACTGTTTCATCAAATCAGATACTTGCCCTCAGACAGAATGAACACATTGGAAATCAGATTTTTGGAAATGATAAGTATAAACTGTTGACATAGACAGTGGCAGTTAAATTTCTTCATCTCAAATTGAACACATGAGCAGTATGGATAACTATGTTCCCAGTAACCATTGCTTTCAGGTAACACCCTCCAGCTACCAACTATCTATCAAGATCTTGCATACATGGGGGAGGGTGGTGCTTCTTGGATCTTTTTGTTGTAACATGCAGAATACCTTTATTCACTGGACGTTTGTGGTGATCTGTTTTCACTTTTCTTACAGGCTCTTGGATACCAAAAATTTCAGAGAACCTCAGGATCGCGTTCCCATCCTCTATGCATAAAACAGGGAGGAAGTCGCACTTTCAGGCTCAAGATGATGACCTTCCCCAGTGCCCTTTTCATTCTGTTTAATTAAAGATGAATAAGAAAAGTGCTATAATTATATAAATATGATACAGGACAATGCAATGTTAATTTCTAGGTTCAGGCTTCACATACCTCCAAATCTTCATATTCAAAGTCCATGCCTTCTTCTGGATATGATAACAAGCCAATCTTTTCCATGGCAAGGTTATCGCTTGAGGTTGCCATATCTGCCTGCTCGATAGAAACTATATCCAAAAAGATTACGAGAAATGAGAATCAAGTCAGTTAGCTATAACAAATATTATTAGATAAAAAGATTGAAATTCAATGTGTTAGTGCTGACAGATGAATGCTCTAGTTGTTTCAAGAAAAACAAATGCTCTATTTATTTTATAACATGTACTCAGCAATTAAAATCAAGTGTGCTTGAACAAAACGGTTGCATAACATTTTCACAAGTTTTCATCTTCAATAATTAAAAGTGAAGTTTATGCCAAACTAGAATCTATGGTCACAAAAGAAAAAAGGTGAAAAAGGATGGTCAAGTCTTCAGTTCAGGTTTTATTAGAGTTAGACTGGAACAGACTTGATCGCTACCACCAACGCTTGCCCAAGCCAGAAGGGGGAAGTTGGACATGCAAATATGAAGACAAAAAGTTGCAGACCAAATAGGAGGTGCCAAGCTACAAATGTTTAATCACTAGATGGAAGGAACAAATAACAGGGGTAGCATGGGAACAAGAAAGTAGTAAGAAATGGAATGAACACTAACATAAATGGAACTTGAAAACATTAGGCACGTTATCCAGTATCACCTGAAGATAAATTTTGGGCAGCACTATCACCAGGAGGTTCATTATCATTGGGTGGTTCTTCTTCCTCATCGTAATTCTCATCGTCAAACACTGAAACTGTACTATTCACCGATGCATACACTGTAGATGAAGAGAAGTAATCCTTTTTTGACAACACATTGTCTTCCTCTGTAGTTGCTTCAACTTCAGGTCCATCATATTCTTCATCAATATCTTCATAATCAACAGCATCTTCTGCCTTCTCATCATAGTCTACATAACAGCAAAAAGATGTGTTATCAATTATGTGCATAGTTTGACACGGAAAAGAAGAATAAGGCCTTCCTGAGCAATGGCAAAGTTGGCTTGATGAATGACTCTCAAAACTGTAGGCGCAGCTTATATGGAAACAGTAATATGTCACTAACCTTGTTCAGAAGGATCAGTTGGTGCTGGAGAAGACTTGATTAGCTAATTAGCAAACAACATAGTATTAACTTGTTTGGTAATGAAATAGGTAAGTAAAACTAACTATATGCATAAGATAACATACGTCAATGTCTTTGAGAGATGGACCAAGCTTATCTGCCAGTGCAAAAAGGTGTTCCTTTGCATCCTGAATTAAGCAAAATAAAAATAATAAAGAAATGCAACATCCAAATTACATTATAAACATAACTACATAGTGACTTGGTTTCCTGCAGAGACTCAATGGGAAAACAATAAAACAAAAGTACCCTAAGGCTGCGCAACTAACCTTTGTTCTGGCTAAAATTTAGTGAGCTCAAGACTATTCAGAAAATATCCAACTTACGAGAAAATTACAATGCATGGACTGAGAATAGTTTGGTTCATAGCATTGATTTTCCCTATCTCATCATTTTCAGAACTCAAATCAAATCAATTTAATCAGTAGAATATGGTTCTTTTAGTAATGCTGGTTCCTATAAAGCAACTGAGCACCCTAAAGTATAAGTTATACGGATCAAAATGTTAAGAAAAAGAGCACCAACAAAGAAGTTAATCTGTATCAAATCATGACCAATTGAGAATGCACTAAGATCAAAAACAGATAGAGATGCATGTCATCTGCTAGAGGCAGACACGTGAAATAAAATAATCAAAACAACAAAAAACAGGACATTTGCATGCCAACAAAATCAGATATTAGAAGTCTGTACCTCATCAAGATAGTCAGCATCTAAGTCACCAGAATCATCTACATTGCCGAACATAAACCCCAAGAAGTGATTTCCTCCACCAGGCTCCTCATAATCCTCGTCATCATCGTCATCTGTAAGGATGACAACAGTAATCACTAATAAATAAGATGGGGTTATTCAAACAAACTCATTGCTAGTTTCAACCAACATTTCATCAATTGTACTTAGCTTCAAATAAATCCAGTTTTGGAGCAACCTCAGGAAATTGTTACGAAAACTAAGAATCTGAGGACTAATGATGACACAATGCATTCCCAAACAGAGGGTTACATGTTTTCAGTATTTTAAAGATGCAGCATCGGAGAATCTTAATGCTAGTTTCAACCAACATTTCATCAAATTAAGTTTCAAGACATCACATAAAATACAGAAGATCGTCATGGAACAGTTAACCCTACAGAGGATCATCTTCATACTCATAACATCATTTTGCAGTTTTATGATTCTCACAGCCGACTCTAAAGACTGCAACTTCACAATTACAAGCCCATAGCAGATCAGCATGCCAACCACCTCATCTTACATGGGTGCATGTAGCTCCCGCAACTAAAATCTTCTCCACACACACAAAAAAGAACATCGAATTCTATATAGCACCAGACAGCATGTCATCGGTTTATCAAATCCCATTGTAAATAGGCACCACAATCAGTTGCACAAAGCCCAGCAAATACACTAGTTAACATAGCACACCCAACGCATCAGAACCCAGCTATTTGACAACCCTAGGGGCCGCACATCGGCTCTTGCACCAACACCAAACCAAAAGCATAACGTGGCTGTGATGAAGTCCTGGGTGTCGTCGAGCTCACCTGCGGCACTGTTTGTCGGGTTCTCCTCTTCATGGAGCTCGCCGTCGCTCATGGCTGCGGCTGTCGCTGTCCTCTACCGCCTCCCCGGGCCGCGACGGCACCAGTAGCTACAAACCCTAGGCCGCCGCACCCTCAGGCCCCTGATCGGCGCCGTACCTCGCAAAATCTAGAATCGCAGGGCCGGATTGGATCGAGTGAATAAAAAATCTCAAGGTGTAGCGTAAAGGGCGAGGCCGAGCCAGAGGCGGGGGAGACCGGGCGATTTCCGCCAGGTCTCCGCAGGATTTTCGGCACGTAGGGAACTGTGTGAGCGGACTGATTGATCTTCGAGCGCAAGATCAGCGGTGTAGCGGGGGCGTCCTGCTTCGTTTCTGGCGACGATGAGAGAAGCGGCGCGGCGATGGCGGTGGCGGTGGCGGACGGGCGGACAGGAGGGTCGTGGGGCTGGGGAGGCAAAGCGGAGGGCAGGGAGGGGCTGGGGCGCCGACTGCGGCGGCGGCGCGTGCCGGCCTGCCGGGCGCCGAGAGGCGGGCCAGGCCGGGCCGGAAAAGAATATGCGGCCCATAATGGAGACCTAATATGAACGAGCACGAACAATCGGGTCGACTAACCCTGTCAAATCAGGCGCGACGGCAGCCCATGAGCGTATAATTGGGCCCTCAACTATTTTGCAAGTCCGATTTATCTCCCTTAATTGTAAAACCAGATTTTTAATGTTCAACTTTTAAAAATCGTTCGATTTACCTGTTTATTAGGCCCTATTCGTTTTCTGTCCAAACCATGAAGATTGGGAGGGATAATCCCCATGGTTTAGCGATGAAACGAACAAGGTCTTAAGTGGTTTTCAAAGAGATTTTAGCTGATGAGATTTTGAAAGCAGTTTTAGATGACGTAGCGTCACATAAGCTATCCTATATGGCGCCACGACAGCCACAAGTAAAGATGTCAACGGGGCCCGTTCCCCGATTCCCTGCGGGAAATTCACCCATTAGGGGACGGGGATGGTATAAATTTCTCCCCATGGGGAATTAAATGGAGAAAAAAATCATCCTCGTCGGGTATGACGGGGACGGGATGGTATGTATACCCCCGTCCCCGTTCACCGCGGGGACCCGATGCCTCCCTCTCCCTCACGCCCCTCACGCCCTGATAGCGGCGCGCCCCCGACGCCTCTCCCTCTTCCTCCCTCCACTCTCTCTCTGTCTCCCTCGGCGACGCTCCCCTCCCCTAGCCCGACGCCCCCTCCCCTCCCCTCCCCATCTAGCGGCAGCCCCTCCCCTCTCCAACCCGGTGGCTGGCGGCGCACCCTCCCCTCCCCTCCGGCGAGGGCTCGTGGCGGCGAGGCCTCCCGAATCAGGAGCACGGCGCCGCGCGCGGATCTCCTCTCCATCCCGGCAGCGCCCCTTCCTCTCCCCATCCCGGCGGCCGGATCTGGAGCACGGCACGACGCGGTGCGCGACCCGCCTCGCAAACCCTAGCTCTCCCGCTCTCTCCCTCTCCCATGCGCCCCAAACCCTAGCTTGCCGCCCGCCCACGGCCCACCCACCGGTCATGCTCGCCTCCGCCTCCGCGGTCCCCATGGAAGACTCCGCCCGCAGATCCACCGCGGGCCCCGACCCCGGTGGCGCCAAGAAGCCGTGCCTCACGCAGCCGCCGCCACCACGTGACCCCAGATCTTACGCCGCCGCCGCTTCCTCCAATGACGCCGCCAGCGCCGCCGAGCAAGCGCTGGTCGACGAGCTGCTCGGCCAGTACCGGACCGCGCTCGGGGAGCTCACCTTCAACTCCAAGCCCATCATCACGAACCTCACCATCATCGCTAGCGAGAACCTCCAGGCTGATGCGGGGGTGGGGATCCCCGCGGGGATTAAATCCTCGAGCGGGGACAGGGATGGGGAAGAAGTGCTCCCCGTGAGCCTTCACGGGGACGGGGACGGGGAAATTTGCCCCCGCGGGGACGGGGATGGGGCAGTAACCCTCGACGGGGAATTCTCCGTCGACATTTCGAGCCACAAGAGAGATAAATTGGACTTTCATGATACTTCAGAAAAAATCAATTAATCTTTATCAAAATAGTTAAAGAAAAAATTCTTCAAAATATGCATTTAAAAATACTAAATCTGATTAACCTTAGAAAAATCATAGACAAATTGTTTTAACTTTAAAAAATATATTCTAAAATCATGCTCTATAATTTTATATGTTCTCCTAAAATCTAAAACTAGGTCAAATATGAAATAGAGGATGCGAGCCAAGACAAATCCTTGCAGACTGAAGCGTGAATCAACGTGCAACCTGATGTGCAAACTACAAAAAGCATTTCCTCAACAACAATGTATTGCTTAACCAACAAGACATACACGATAACCAAATAAAAATATAATACAAGTTCTAATAGCACATTAACAATCTGTATCATGTGGTTTAAATTTGTAGCAACACTTTCTTCTCCGAGGAATATCACGACAATGATGTGTGCCAATTCACTGGACCATCAGTGGGCAGCCGATGTGCGGCTTCTCAGACTCCCAAATAGACGTCTACGACTTGGACAACATCGGGATGGACATGATTGCTTCCTTGTTCGTCGTCGTCGTCGTAGGTCTGTGCAGACATAGGGAGCACATGCTCGAGCAGGAAGGCAGATTGGACAATCTCATGATGTGTGTTTCCTAAAATCATGCTCTATATTATTGTTCCTAGTTTAAAAAACATAAAGCGTGTTTTTAGAAAAATATATAAAATTGGATTCATATTTTTCTAAGTTAAAACAAATTTTCTATGAATTTTTTCTATGGCCAAATTAGATTTTTAGTATTTTTAAATGCATATTTGTTATAGAAATTTTAGATAATTTTTGAAAAAAATATTTCTATGTTCTTTTGTTAAAGTCTAATAGACATCCCTAAACTATCGTGAAAATTCGATTTATCTCCCTCATGACTGAGGTGGCATCACAGGTCAGCCAAAACTGCTTTCAAAACCACCTAGGTAGGTAAATTGGACGGTTTCAAAAGTTGTAAAATCCTGTTATGCGATTAAAGGAGGCAAATTAGACTTACACAATAATTGAGCAAGGTCGAATGGACTTTATTCGTTTATTATATAAAAATTAGCTCCTGTACATCAACAGGAGGGCTATTAGGTGAGCTAATTTTTTAGCCAAGTCTTTAACTAGTTGTTAGCAACTAGCTAGTCAGCCATAGCTAATTTGAGATAATTTTACCCTAACTAATAACTAGCCATATGTATCAAACATGCCCTATATAGGCAGCCAAATAGTCACGGCCGATAAGTCTAACAATTCCATATATACCAAAGTTTGTTGTAATTCTGTGACAAGGTTCTCTAAAAATCACCCGGTGCAAAAAAACAAGAGGAACAATTAGGAGGTGTTCGGTTTATGGAATGAAATGGTCCATCAACATCTCTCTCTAGTTTTTTTTTTTGGTTTAGAATAAAGTTGATCCATCACCGTCTCATTTCTCGTAAGCTCATAATTAGCACTAGTATGATAAATGAGGCCCTTTCACTAATCTTACTGCGTGCTTGGTTTGCATCATGGATCGGTTCTGGAGCCATCTGATCCTACGTCCGAACCTATAACTTATTTGGATTGAGGCATGGAAGATTTCATCCGGCACCGAGTGATACTTCGTAGTGAAGGCTGCTCTTCATATCCTGGAATCAACTCATCCGCTGAAAAACAAGGAGCCACCTCGTCCCTCGACAATCCGGATTGGTTGATCCGGCAAACCAAACAGCCTGTTAAGGAATGAAGAATGAACCCATAATGCATCACCCCATCTAGAATGGATTGATTTCTCAAACCTAACACTCCATTACATAAAACGGAGACGGACTCTGAATCTGTCTCGGCTTGCAGTATTGGTACGTGCAATTTTGGGAGAGCAATAGAATTCAAGCATTATTCCAGGCTAGTAGCCCAGCCAAGAACAATGAGTGTGTTGATTCACAGAAAACGTAGGGCAACAATGTTTCTTTTTTAAGAGTCTGCAGCATGCATTTTTTGTGCATTTTTGTACTGAATACATTCAGGAACACTGTACAGAAATTAAGGAACTTATGCACAATATGGCACAAATATATGCAAATACTTTTAAACGTGTTTTACAAGGAATTCTGAAGAAACAATAGAGATTGGACTTGGACAGAATTCTTCAATACGGCTTTTGCCCGGAGAACATGATAAATGACCTCTGAACATTGCTGCTGTAGTTGACAAGGCCACAGGATTTGCACAAGTCTTCTAGCTCTCGTTCAGTAAAATAGTTGTAGCTGGTGTTAACTGGTCCAACAATCTGCACCATAATAAGTGGTAAAAGGCAGAACAAATTAGATAAGCTCAGCGAAAAAGAGAAAAGTAACTAGGAAAGATGTCCAAATACCTGTCTAAGTGGCCTTAGTGCTTCAACAGAGAATGGGTTGTTCCTGGGAGAGGATAAGAAGGTGGTTCCCACAAAGACTCCACCAGGTCTCAGGACACGGCTTATTTCAGCTACCTGATAATTAGACGTCAGTAAATATTTCATGATCACACGAATGGAAGGGCAGGATTGTCATTGTCGGTTGGCAGTGCACTAATGATACAATTTAAGTTCTGATTTATCGAGTTGGCTAAGATGCAATGTCGTATTCAGATGACAACAACATGAATAGAATCAGGGAAGCTATACTGGAAACACATAGGGGAAAATGTTATCACTATTTAATATCGAATAATGGATGTTCATGCTTCTATATACTTTTGCTAAAATTTCAGCACGGTCCCAATGGAGAAGGTAAGAGTATGATTTATAAGCATCCCTAAGCATCCCGGTTTCATCAGTTGTTTTGTTTAATACAAGACAAATCTTTATCAGATGAAAAGTTATGGTTGACTAGGAAAAGCTTTTATGTACCAGATGTAACTATAAGCAGATATTGTGCAGTTACATGTTGTATAACAACATAAATTTTAATCTTTTTTTTTAATATTAGCACAACTGCACAAGTCAAAAGTGCAAATGAGAAATTGTACCGCATTAGAGG